AAGAACATGTCATCTAAAATGTCTGTATGCTAGCATAATATGCATCATTGGCAAAGGAGTACTCCAAACAAGTTATTTTGAGATACTGCATTCACAGGAGAAGCTCTTAAAAGAGACTGTTGGGTAAAGGAAAGTCAAATACAGGAGGAAAATTTCTGCAGGTGCCCTAAGCCCTTTGTACTAGAAAGAGGAAAATGCTGGACCACTGAAGACTCATTCTGGAGAGCAGCTTAAATCTGCCTGACAAAACAATGTTTGCTCTCAATGCTTCCTGAACACCCCCCCATTACTGACTTTAGTGTCCCCCTCTTTGTTTCAGTGGACTGGGTATTTTAAAGCTATTTATTTGTGTTTTGTTTACTTTCCTTTGCTGGAAATTGCTCAAGTATACATGAGATATGCATGTTACTAAAACTGATTATTTTTCTTTGTTAAACTGTCTTGCTACAGGGACTCTTCCACACAAGATTTTCTAGGGTAGAGGGGTACCATTATTTGCTAGCCCATAGAAAGTGATATTATCCAAATACCAACTTAATTTTGTGCTAATTTGTAACATTTAATGTAAAAGCTGTATTCCTTGTCATCACTACTTGTTTTCATGTCATTTCTACTTGTTTTCAAATGTGGTGTAATTGGGTTTTGGGATGGTAAAGTAATTTTTAAAAAAATTTATTTATCATTTTTATTTTATGTGTGTGCATGTATTGCCTGCATGTAGGTAAGTGCATCCGTGTTGTACAATGCCTGCAGAGGTCAGAAGAGGCCATCGGATGCCCTGGGACTGGAGTTATAGACAGTTGTTAGCTGTCATGTGGGTGCTGGAATTCAAACCCAGATCTTCAGGAACAACCGGTGTTCCTAACTGTTGAGCCATCTCTCCAGCCCCCGATAAAGTAATTTTTTAGGGCTTCTGTTGACACATGTAAAGTAGCAGTAACACTTTAAATTTTTTTATGTGATGTGTGTGTGCCTGCATGAATTTATTGACCATGTGTGTGGGATTCATGGAGGCTAGAAGAGGGTGTCAGATGCCCTGAAACTGGAGTTACAGGATTGCAGATGGTTGTGAGCCACTATGTGGGTGTTGGGAACCATACTCAGGTCCTCTGCAAGAGAAGTCTGTGCTCTTAACCATTGGGCACTCTCCAGCTGATATAACACCTTTTTAGTTAATGGGATTCACAGGTTTCCATATCAGCTTTGTCCTGGAACATGCTAGCTTACTTTTTGTGGGTTCAGTTTTAGGGCATGTCTTGTCCAACTGAACACAAGATTTAAGATAATATAAAATACATTTTCATTGCCATTCTTGATATGTGTATGTATGTCTACGTCTGTGTTAGTGAGATATGTGCATGCTATTTTAAAGTTTTTGATACTTTTAAGGGACACTATTCCAAGCTATTACTATAAGGCAGGAACTACAACATTGAGGTTTTATCATAGGTAAGATATTAGGCTTGTTAAAAGCTAAATGTAGGTATGTTAAAATTTTAATGCGTTTATTTCAGCAGACAGTGGTTCATGAATTGGGCCGCATCAACCTTGGATTGATTCAGGGCTCTGCCAAGTGTATGGAACAGGAAAACTTTTGTACAGTGTTTGAGGAAACAAGCCAAAATAGAACCAAAACAAATCAATCTGTCAAAGTGGAAAGATCCTATGTAGAGTTTAATTGGCAGTTCTGATTGCTAAAGTTTTTATTCCTGGAGTCCTAGGCCAGAGGCCCAACTCTGAAGATCCCCACAAATCAGGTCTGGCCATTTGCCCAAAAACAAAGGGGAAAAGTAATGTTGAAAAATAGAAAAGAAACTTTAATCACTGTGCTAAACGTGCAGAGGAGAACAGGTGACCTTAGTGATGTCTTCTGGGGAGCCAAACAGAGCTCCTAAATTATATGGGCAGTGATAGATAGAAGTGGGGGTCAAGAAGCACACAATTAGTCTTTGTCAAACTCTGGTCTGTTAGCCATTATCTTCTGATTGATCAAAGGGGTCTTGTCACAGTTTAGAAAGTCATTATTGCTTGAGGCTAGATTCTACTCCTTTCCATTGACCCTGTCATCCCTGGAATCCATGAAGACTGAAAGACAAAGTGTCTTAGGGTGAAGGAAACAGATGCAGCGTGGAGGCAAAGATACCAAAGTTTATCCTGCTTTTAGGTCATTATTGGACATTTGTAGGCCTAGGAAAGAGGCAATGTTCTTACCAAAAAGAGCTCTGAATTCTTGATACATTTAGTTAGTCGACAGGTAGTCATTTCTGATTGTTTCAGCTCAAGGCTTTTCATTTCTAAAGCTCTTTGTACTCAGATATTTGTTGCTCAAAATGCCTTTTAAATATAAGGAACATGCCATAAATATTTATAAAGATGAATTTAAAATAAAATTCCTCCCGCATAGTTTGTATACATTACCGTGCTTAGTCACTACTGGCATTGACTGTTCAACATTGAAAATTAAGTCATCCTCTTTAGATGTTACGCTACAGTATTTCTAGTTTTTCCACTCAGTCTGGTTCTGTTTTGATTTGCAGTTTTTCAAGGTTATATCACCAAATCAAAGTAGATTTATGATATCAAAGAGTTGTATGCTGAGCACAAAGCTGATAGTGAAGTTTTAAGATATTGTCAAGGTCATACTGAATATAGCTGTCATGATTATAAGTTCTTGAGTAACGTGCTGTGAAAGTGTTCTGTGCACTACTGATTTTAGTTTTCTGATGCTCAGGCTGACCTTCCAGGCTGGACAGAACTATTTCTGAACAATACAGAGACATCCCCCGTGTTCTAGTAGCAACTCTTAGGTCTTCTAGGCCTCTCAGAACTACTGAATTCCACAGAGGATGTCTCAGATACATGGGACCCTCCATAGGTCAACAGGGAATTGAATCCTTAAAAGCTCTAATGTGACACGTATCTCATTATTTTGTTCTGCCTTTTCTAAGCTCTGAGTGTCCCAATATATCATGAGGGCAGTGGCCTTGGTGGCATAACTGAATGGGTTGGTAGCTCTCTGAGAGTTTGCTATTTCCATTGGATTTTGTTTCTGTTCGCTTAGGTAAGAAATCAGGGTCCTGGAGCTGTCTCGTCCTAATGGCCTTTCAGTTAATGACAGGCTCAACTGCAAATAAAAGTGCACTGTGTTTGTGTGTGTGTGTGTGTGTGTGTGTGTGTGTGTGTGTGTGTGTAAAATTACTAAGAATACCTGTCAACAGTAAGCAGATTCTCACTAAAGAATCTAACAGGATACAGAATTCTTGCTGAAGATAGTCCACAGTGGTCAGATACCACCAAAGTAGATGAGATCAGATTTCTGGGCTGGTGGAACCATGAGATAGCCATCATGGGGGATTATGACTAAACTAACTGATGAAATAGTTACTGAAACTGAAGTATGGAGGACAAGCATAGAGATGTGGCCTAGCAGGGCTCAGAGTTTGTTCATGGAGATGGACTTGTATTTGTAGATTTGTGGTGCTAGTTTGTTTTTCAGGTGGTATCTCCCTATGGAGACAAGACTGGCTTTGAATTCACTATATTTCCCTCAAGCATCAGTATGTTGTGCTGGGATTACAGATGTGGACCACCACATAGGTCTCACTAGTTGAATTTTAAGATGAAAAATAATAGTAAATTATTATTCCATCCATCCCTTATGATATGGATGCATACCAATGCTGGTAGCAGTCAGTATCTTTTATTTTACTTTATTCCCTTCTTTATTTTTATTTTTTAAAATTTATTTAATAACCACATAATTAATAGAAGCATTTCATTACAACAGCATTGACATAGTCAATAACGGTTTCCAGAGCAAAGACGGGACTGTGACTCGTAATCAGATACCTAGAGATTAGAGACACATGTGCAAACATCTAAGTGTAGTTGCATTAAAAATGAGATTTTCTGGGAGCTGGAGAGATGGCTCAGCAGTTAAGAGCACTGACTGCTCTTGCAGAAGACCTGGGTTAGATTTCCAGCATTTACATGACAGCTATGAACCATCCTTAATTCCAGTTTCAGGGGAGTCCGAAGCCCTCTTCTGACCTCTGCGGCATTGCACGACATGGGTGCACTCACATACATGCAGACAATACAGTCATACACATAAAAATAAAAATAATAAATATAAAAAATATTTTTAAAAATGAGATTTTCTGTATGAAACAGAACATTTTAAAAATGAAATGGGGATCTTTTTTAAAGGTTAAAACCAGTCAGTATTTCGCCAGCTATTTTATGACTTGCTTTATTTTTACATTTTATTTAGTGTGTGTATATGTGTGTGTGTGTGTGTGTGTGTGTGTGTGTGTTCAGAGGACAACCAAGGAGAGGTCAGAGGACATCTTGCTGGAGTTGGCCTTTAGGTCCTTATGCTTGGCAGCAAGCACCTCTACATGTTGAGCCATCTCACCAGCCCTGAGTTTATGATGTTTTTGAAGTGTGGATTTCTTCCTAACCTTTGACCTTGGTGAAGGAAAGAACAAGGCCTTTATAGGACTGTGTACCATCCTTGATTTGGCTTATTTTTGATTTGGATATTTTTTTATTTTATGTGTTTGAGCGTTTTGCCTACATGTAAGTACACTACATGCATGTCTGGCACCTGAGGGAGCCAGAAGAGAGTGTTGGATCCCCTGAAACTAGACTTATGTATGGTTGTAAGCTGCCATATGAGTTCTGAGAACCAAACTCAGGTCCTCTGCAAGAGCATTTCTGACTCTTGCCTTCTGGGTCATATCTTTAGCTCCTTGGTTTGGGTACTTTAATTAGGAACCGATATTAATCAATGATCTCTTCTAAAACTGAGGGCTACTTCCATGTACGATAAGTAGATTGAAAGTTCAAAAATACTGTTATCTTTTATCTTCTAATCACTTATCTGACTAATCTCTGATTTACTTATGAATTTGAAACATGTTATTAATGAGCTTTTTTATCATTTGATCCTGCCATATGTTAAATATGTATCAGATATTCATTTGACATGCTTACAGGTGAAGACTCAGAAGAAAGACGTGGACAGGTGCTGATCCTGTTAGTAGAGCAAGCTCTTCGTGTCCATGACTATAAAGCAGCCAACATGCACTGTCAGGAGCTGATGGCCATAGGTGAGTAGACAGCTCAGTGCTTTGTTCCTGTCCTTTCTACATGATGAATAATGGAAAAGGTATGTTCTGAAATCAGTTGGCCTGACTAGTAAGCCAGGCACATTTTCACTTGAGATACATCTTATTAGGAATAAATATGCTCTGTGTTTATATGTCAATATTAATATTTGAATGGACTCGGGTGTTAAAGTGTATGATTTTGGTTATTTTACATTCCCTATCTAAAATATGCCCATAATTTTAGAAACAATATTATGTGAAATATTTTAATATAAAATTTGGAAGAATATGTACAATTTGTGATTATATGTCAATATTCTGTATTTTAATGTAGAGAAAACAGTGCTTTTCAAACTAATGTTGAAAAATTGGGAAAGGGTTAGACTGAAATATATCCTATTTTGAATTTAAAATTCCATGCTTAAGAGAATAAGCAGATTTTATTGTAGAATAATTTCTCATCTAAATACACTCCTCAGTGCAAGAAAAAAGAATACCATTTTAAGATTATCGTAACTCATGAACTTCTCACTCATGATTCCTGCACTTGTTCCTTTCTGGGGATTGAATGCAGGCCTATGAATGCTAAGTAAACTCTGTATCACTTCTGTACCACTAGGCTCTCTCTCCAGTCCAATTTATGCACTATTTTTTTTTGTATGTCAACAATGAATAGAAAAACAAATCTGATACCTTTTAGCAACTGTAAAGAAGCTATTCAGGATTCCTGTGTGGAAGAAATTATACTCATCCACTAACATATCAAGAAGAGATTGGTATTGTAGCCAGTGATCCAACTGAGGGGGTTAGCCAGTGGAAAAATACTGAGAAGAGATGTCAAAGGGCTGGGCAAAGTGATTATTTGCTGAATTGATTTAATAAAGTCTTTCCTGAAGAGAGGCCCAGGGGAATACGAATGAGCCAATCTGGTACTGAGGTTATAGATCCTGGCTCAACCCACTTCAGGAGTTTTGTTCATACTGAGATTTCCATCCCGTAACTGTGAGGGCTGACTGAGGCCTGGCCTATAAATGAACTCAGAGGAGGCCCAAATTTTGGTCAAGGCCATGATCTTTGGCAATAAATCTAGAAATAGTTTTGCAATCTAGAAAGTCAACACAGTACTTTCCAATCTTATCATTAGAAATTTAGTTCCATAAAACTTCAATTCTATACTGTTAATTGTGACTTTGCCATATGAAATTCAGAATCATTGTTCTTAGTATAGGTATTGTTCTTTTAATCCAAATGTTTTCAGAGTTTTTTTTAAAACTAATTTTATTCTCATAAGATTAACACCAGATTAATTAATCTTTGCTGTATATATTTAGAGAAATTATTCTGTGCTTGTGCCATTATTCCTAGAGCAAAGTCCTACTTTCATCTCCTTCAAATATTCGTAATGTAACATCGTGTAGTAGAAAGGTCTTTGCTGGGAGTTGGGGACTGGCTCCATTTTTGGCACTGACCTTAGACACCTTTTTCTATAAAATGGATGATTCTTTGTGAGCACCTATCTTAATATCTCTATCTAGCACTTTGCAATTTGTGATGCACTTTGAAATACAAATGTCACTTATTCCTTTCAACAACCTAAGAGGAAAGAGTTATTATTGTTCACTGGATTTGTTTGTTCATTTTTAGTGATTGTAAAATTTAAAGTGTTCTGTCAGAAACACTTGTCTGGAGTATCCCTAAATTTTGTGGAGAGTAAATCAGTCTACTTTTTCTTTTCTAGCTTAGATTCTTAAGCCTTTCTACAAAATGTGTCATTATGTCATTATGGTCTTCAGTCTTGCTTTGGTACCACAAGATCTGATCAAGAACCCACTGTCTGTCTTATCTTCGTTTGTGTTGCTCTTTCCATTCCTAGCATCAGTTTTGTTTTTTTTTTCCTTGCTAACTTTTCAGGATATACAAGAAGTTGGGATGTTTGTAGCCAGTTAGGACAGTCAGAAGGTTACCAGGACTTGGCTACTCGTCAGGAGCTCATGGCTTTTGCTTTGACACATTGCCCTCCTAGCAGCATTGAACTACTTTTGGCAGCTAGCAGCTCTCTACAGACAGAGGTAAGCTCTCCCAAATAAATTAAATCCCGACCTGGATAAAGTTCTTTCTGTTGGATATGTGGATTAGAAAAAGACTTTGAAGGTATAAAAATATTAAACAGTGTTGGCTTTATTATACTAAGGAAGAAAAGAGGCTTGAGAAAAATTGTGTATTAGGAAATAAATGATTGAAATTTGGGAGAAATTTGGCATTGTCAAGAATAAAATAGCTGGTAAGTGATCATGTGAACTGTATCTGCAACCATGTGAGTTAGAGCAAGTGGTAGACATTCCTTTGGTATCTTTGAGAAATTGAGAGTGGGAGTGGACCGTCGTTGGAGTGATGCTAAATTTTCTAAAAGTGTGCTGGATCCAGATGTGGGAAATGGTGCTAAATGTACCAGGAGACAGGGAGACCCATTGTGAAAAGAGGAAAATTAAAAAATACAAGTCTTTTCTAATGATATAACTTGTTCTTGTTTCAGATTCTGTATCAGAGAGTGAATTTCCAGATCCATCCTGAAGGAGAAAATGTTACTGTCTCACCATTAATTAGTAAAGTGCCACAAGAGGTGAGTTACGATGTGAAGGAAGAAGGATGCTATAAGTGAAACGGAATGGGGTCATTCATCTTATGCCATGAATGAGAAGGGGTGTGTGTGTGTGGTGTGTGTGTGTGTGTGTGTGTGTGTAGACTACTTTTCAATTTTGTGTTTGTGTGAAATACAACATTCCTATAGCTCAATAAATTATCACAAAGAAAACACCCATGAACTACCACACAGATCAAGAAATGGCACGTGTTCAACTTTCTCAAACTCCCCCATTCTTTTCCTGACCCTTTTCTCTCCCCTCAGAGATTGTTACTACCCTGGCTCTAGTCCTGACAGCACAACCGTTTGACTTTTCTGTTTTAAGTAACCTTAATACCACACTTAAACACTCCCCCCCCCAATGGTTTAATTGGATCTATTTTTTAAACTGGCTATGTCCATCTTGTTGAACTCCGTAGTGTTTGTGCTGTATGGTACCTTTAGTACTGCAGTACAGAGTGTCAGTTGCAGAATCTATTCATACTGTTGTCCACAGTGGAACATGTACAACTACCTGCTCCCATACCTTTTCTTTTTCTTTTTGGTCTTTTTGAGACAGGGTCACCCTGTAGCCCCAGCTGACCTGGAACTCACTATGTAAACCAGGCTGGCCTTGAACTCACATAGATCCACCTGCCTCTGCCTCCAAGTGCTGGGATTAACGGCGTATGCCACCACACTGATACCTATACTTTTTCTTTTATGTTAAAACTCAATTTGTTAGGTATCATGAGTGCGCTATGTCAATATGAGACAAACACCTTTGTATGTTTCCTCAATGACAGAATTTATTGAATAACAATAAATTCATAAGTTTTCATTGTTTTCAAGGATAGCAATTTTTCATAAAATCTGTCTACCTTGATAGCTTGGCTGAGCTGAATGCAAGTTCTCTGTTCCGGTCTTTATTATTATTAACTCTTAACTCTCATATCACATAGCACAAAGTAAATATATCTATATATCTGTATGCATATATATGGGTTATAGAATGAATTCAGGTTAAAGAGACTATAGCAAAATTCAAGAAGTTTTAGAAGTGGGCTGCGAAAGAGTTTGTGTAGATAAGATAATGAACCAAACCAGTGCTGGTCGGGAACTGCTGCTAGAATGGGTGATGGAGCTGCTAGAGTCAGGCTTGAGAGCAAAGCCACACAATTCAGTTGTGAGGTGAAAGGCCAAATCAGATCTAGAGCATGAAACTGGCCAGGCCAGGAAACAGTGGATCAGGTCCACACAGGCAGGTAAACAGGTAGAAGGGGAAGCGGTCTAGTAGGCTGTATAAATAGCACAGGACCAAGTAGAGGTGAGTGTCCTTGGTCCTACACACACACACACACACACACACACACACACACACACACACACACCAGGTATCACATGATTGGTTGGTGTGGAGCCATGCCATCATAGTATTAGGTGACTGTCACTTTATGGGGTCCAGGAGAGAGAATTATACCCTTTCCTTCATTTTGGGTCCACATGAGAGAAAGCTGTATTGGTACGTTTTTGGTTCTGGTTTCCTAAATATGATTTTAGTATGCCCATGTGTCCCTATACCTTCAATTCTCGCCAATAAACTTACAGGGTGGTTCCATTTCTATTCCCAGGAATAAGAATCAGTTTGTGTTAGAGAAGTTATGCCTGACAGGGGCTACACTCATCCTTCTCAAAATGAAGTTAAAAGCTGCTTGTAAAATGGAGTCTCTTCTGGCAATACACATCCTGAAAATCACTGTTTTATACAGTATGGAGTAATATAGAGTAGGCACAACCTGATCCCAACATTAAGCATGTATTTAATATAAATATATCTTCCCAGCCGTGTATGGTTGTTGCATGCTTTTAATTCCTGCACTCGGAAGCAGAGACAGGTGGATCTTTGTGAGTTCAAGGCCAGCTTGGTCTACAACATGAGTCCAGGCCAGCTGGGGTTACAGGGAGACCCTGTCTCAAAAGGACCAAAAAAAAAAAAAAAGCCATCTTCCCAATTCAGTACTAAGTAATCTGAGAATCTTGGAAGTTTGTGATGTGACTTTTTGCCCATAATGTAAAGCTTGCCTATCTCTCCTTCAGTGATGACTCTAGGACAGCATTGTACAGTGGAGCTTTTGCAGTGAGTGATGTGTTATGCACCTGTACTGTGCAGCATGGTGGCCATTTGCCACATATTGAGTGCTAGAAACATGACAAGTGTTACTCAGGAATCAAATTTTTAGTTTTATTTATTTTTTCTGATTTGTATTTAAATGATCACATGCACTGGCTAACAGTGTTGACTATCACTGTCCTAGGAATTCAACATTCAGTAGAGTATTGTTGGTAAATCACTGCTGAGAATAGTGGGCTTTCTGCTATTCTTCAACATGGAAGTCATAGTGTTTTCCAGGGCCTGCAGTGGTAGGGACACATTGCATTCCTAGGCATGTTTTGACTTGAATTTGTACAGATCAGTAATTGTTTTGCTTGTCATCCTTAGAAATTCTGTATTTTCTCCATAGATTCAGAGCAATTCTAATAACAGCTAGTAGTCACTGGATTTTCAGTGTATTAAGACTTATGTCCAGGTCCAGATGAAGACTTACTTTTTCATGCGATCTTTTTTTTTTTTAATTGAGCTTTTGTAATTTCTTACAACAGTTCTTAATCAAATTTAGGAGCCCCCCCAATGCCTCCCCAATCCCTCCACCAAACCTCATGTATTCTGCCGTACATGTTAAGTCCTATTCATTCAGGCATTTGTACCCGAACGTCCTTCAGTGTAAATGCATCCACTAGAGTCTAGTCAACCCATCTAGTGATCTTATGTAAGTCATGTTCTCCCTCACCCATTAGCATTCAGTCTCCAATAGTTCCCAGTCTAGTGCTGGCCCACTACCTATTTCTCTTCTCCCCTTTGGGCCCTTGTTTAATTGAATTGACATAGGTCCTATGCTCCATGACACCATTGCCACAAATTCACATGTGCAAGCTTCCAGTGGCCTGGAAGCCTCTGCTTCCCTGTGTTCATGAACCAGCCCTGGCTCTTACAACCTTGCTGCCCCCTCTTCCTCAATGGTCTCTGAGCCATGGGTTGGATGAGGGTTCTTTATTGGAGTCTTACCCTGTATTCTACAGTCTCTTATTCTTTAAAACTTGATCAGTTGTGGTCTTCTATGTGTGTCACACTCTGTTGTATAAGGAAGGTTTACTGGTGAGAGTTGAGGGATACTTAGTTTGCTCTGTACCCCTTGTTCTGCTATGTTCCATGAGCCTTAAGTCTGCAGGTTCAACAGTAGATGTGTCACTTAGTACTGTGCATCTCTCAGACATATTCTCCGTGACTGAAAAATTATGCAGTTCTGCAGTAGCCTCCATCTGTTGCAAAAAGAAGCTTCTTTGATGAGTGGTATACAGTATGCTTGTCTGTAAATATAAGGATCCATATTTAGCATATGGTAAGAAATTTCATTTGTCTAGAGATATGAAAGGGGTTTTCTCTAGGATCTATGTCCTCTCCAGCAATGTGTGTTTGGCTGAGTTTCAGTGCCTCACCCCCCTCCCATTGAGTTTACTCCCATTGAGAATGCTTTAAGTCCAATTAGATAGCTGTTGATTGCCCCTCAGATAATAGTGCTACTACTGCACCAATAGAGGTAGTTTGCCATGCTGGTCGTTGTGGTTATTAGACTTTAGGGCTGGATTGGACCATTGATTGTTTTTCTCCCTTGGCAGTTTGCATATCATCATCTAGCATTATGATAGCCAAACTTCGGTTAGAAGACTTCCACATCAGTTCCTGCTCCATTGTTTCAAGTCCTGTATCCTAAGTATGACCTGTCTTCAACAGTAGGGTCTTATCTACTAGTTCTGGAACCTTGGATCTGTTGCATCTCTGCCATCTGTTTATTATGTCCAGACAAATCTACTCTGGGCGTTTCTTTAGAGCCATCTCTTGTTGGGTCCTTCAAAAGAGCTGTAGTCATGAGAGCACCTCCTCATTCTCTGCCTTGATTCTGTCACTCCTTGGGGATAGGTAGTTTTCTCTCTGTCTCTACTACCCTTCTTGTTTTGTGCTCTGTATTTTGCCCTTTTCCTTTAAAATATTCTTTAATATTTGAGTTCCCTAGTTGTTCCCACCCCCTGCCACTCCACCTCCCACCCCAATTCTAGTTTGCCTTTTGTTCCTATGATAAAGCACTGACCAAAACAAACCTGGGGACAAAGGGTTTATTTCATCCTAGACTTCCAGGTAGCGGTTAATCACTGAGGAAAGTCAGTGCAAGAACCTGGAGGTAGGAATTGAAGAAGAGACCATGGAGGAACACTGCTTACTGGCTTGCTTCCAGGTTATGTTTAGCCACCTTTCTTAGGCAGCATAGGCCCACCTGCCCAGGGGTGGGGACTGCACATCTCACAGTGGGCTAGGACCTCCTATATCAATTAGCAATAAAAAAACAAATGCCCCATAGACATGCCTATAGGTCAGTTTGCTGAAGGAAGTTCCTCAGTTGATGTTCTTTCTTCCCTGGTGTGTCAAGTTGACAGCCAAGATAAGCCATCACACTTCTGTTCCCTAATTATTCTCTCATCATTCTGTTAATCACTTTTTAGTATGATTTAGTATTGTATGTGGCAAATGATGTGCCATTTTCTTTGCACTTTCTTCACAAGGTGCTTGTCCCATAATAAATACCGGGTGTTTGCTAAAGCTCAGTCAGAAACATCCACTGCATAATGCTTAGTCTTATTAAAATAAGTGAGGTTCAGTTTAGCTTTAAAATAAAGAATATAATTTCCAATTTAATTCATTTGTATGACTTGTGGTGGCTATTAAGGTCCTGTTATGTTTTGGCCAATATGAAATGTATAATTTTTTTGTTCAGTGTAGAATTGGGCCATCTTTCTGCTGAGCTTTTTTCTATGGGCTTTTTTTGAATCCCCATCCTTCTTTTAAAATTCCATAAGAAGCCTTTTGTGACTTTTGGGTTTCCTATTTT